AAGAAAAAAGTTAAATGGATTAATTAATCAGCTGATAGTTTACTCAGTGTACGTCTAACATGGACCGTGTTATTTGTGTGTAAACCCAGTATTAAAAGGCAGGCACCGCCCATTTGTTCTTTTTAGGAGGGGTGCGTCACTGTCTTTGAGGCTGGCCCAGAACGGACATGCAAAGCACGACAAATTCAGGAACGCTGCTTGTACTAAAAGAAGTAAGTGGAGTTTTATTTTACACTTTTGTCATTTGGGCATTTTCAGTGAGTGGTGTTGTGTGCAAGGCACATCTTTATTATTATAATTAATTTATTTATTTTTGTAGGTGCTGTTCGAGGCTCTGACTGGGGAAAGTATCTCATCTCGTGCTACGCTCAAACTAAGAAGTAATACAGGAAGTGGAGAATGAGTTTGCTGGTTGCATTTGGTTTAAGTTGTGTGTTTGCAATCCACGGTCAAATTCAGATGACAACGCTGTCATGCAGCATACAATGTTTGTCTTATTCATAACTTGTAGCTTTCAGGTTTTAATGACCAGATGTTTACAAGCACATGGCACATAGCTTCTCAGGTAAAAGGGCTTCACTTCAGATTTTCCTTTATTGTGTAAACCTCATGAAGGACACTGAGAAGACAGTAGACTTTTTTTTATGTTGGACAGGTGGTATTGTTACTGATCTACAACCACACATGGGTAAAAGCTGCCTTTAGTTCACATAAACCGCTACAAAAACTACGGGGGATAGGTCTGAAATATTTCAAATTAAAATAAGTAATCTCACTGTAAAAACGAATAATTTTGACTCACTGCATTGTCTCAGTTAGTACACAATAAATTGTGTTTTATCTGTTTTTTTATATTTATATATTTTTGTAAATTTACATTTACAATGCAGTTCATACAAAACTGCATCAGCTCGTAGTTTTTTTTTTTAATTTGTAAACTTTATGGGAACTTGAAATTCTAGGTTTTATCTTTATCCATAAATTTTACTACAATATTCTGTTTAGTTTTCATTCTTCCCCAGAAAAGTTGTCATGGCAGGGCGCTCCACTCGTCTGTGATTTTTGTCCTGGTGGGGGGGGGTGGAGTCATATCTGTGCTGCACGCTGTTTGTACCGACAGTTTTTGAGCCGGGAGTGGTGCCTGTACTGCGCACCGCCAGCGCGCTCGGTTCTGTTGACGGTGGGGCGCCCTGCTTGTATATTAGGGGAAACTGATGCCTTTAAATTATTGTTCCTTTTTTCATATTTCTGGAGATATTTTAACTAAATGTTATCTTTTATTTAAGCATTTTCTCATTTATTATATAATTGTATACATTTTCATTTTGCAGTCTGTTTTCTCTGAAATTGTGTTTTGTAAGCATGTCTGACTTCCTCAGCTTGTGATTTAGCTCCGCCTCCTATAAACAAAATTTTGCAGACATGTGAGGTAAACCAAACAAACTGGTTTGTAAGAAACTGGAGGATCCTCTGGGATGCTGGGAACGACAGGATGTGATGAAGCACGATTAAGTCGAGCCGGTTCAGCCAGGTCGTCTGCCTTCTAAAATATTTTGTTTGTACATTTACAACCCTCGGTCCTTTTCGGTGCACCACATCTCTTGTGTAAATCAAACATCCCACATGACCTATGTTGATATTTAGTTCTTGTACAATGGCAGACTTCTTTTCTTGTGTGCAATTTTCCCTCTTCTGAAATAAAGACATTCTCTTCTGCGCAATTCATGCTAAATGCTCATTGTCTCTTCATGCCGTGAACAAAATGTAAATGGAGTTTAGTTCATTCAAAGAACTGGCAGACCACACAAACCCTCCCACCGCGCTGGTCAGACGTGACGCAGAAACGCTGGTTTCAGAGAGCAGCTGTAGGTTATTTGAACGTGCGTGACGCGACAAACGGCTGCATTGTTTTCTCCTGAAATCAGTTACTGTAGTTGTTCTTGCTCTTTTTTTGTTGTTGTTGGGGTTTCATCAGAACCAGCTGTGAATATCAGACTGATGGTGTTAAAAGAAGCGCAACCTGTCACTGAACTGTGGATGTACAGGTAGAGCCATGAGTGATTCATCTTGGTTCACGTCCACAGGCACACATGCAGAACAACCACATCTTTAACCAGGAACTGTGGAACTGCATCATAGCTCCTGCCAATGGAAATTATTTGACATCAAGTGATGTTTAAACCCCATCAGTCCATGAAGGAATGCTAATTATCCACCGCCTTTCATGCCAGATTTAACTTGGCTGTTTTAGTCAAACTATGAAAATAATGTTGAGCCATTGTGAGCGCACAAGCTCAAAATATGACTCAGCTACCACTACATCAAATTTTAGCTTAATACTGTATTTATAAAACTGACTTCCAGCCATTTAAATGCTAAGGCTAATTAGCTGTGGTGGCAATTTAGACCTTGGTGCACCCCTAAAGGTTAATCAGTTATGAATGTTCATTAATTAATTACTTTGAGGTTTCAAAAAATTAAAAAAATTCAGTGGTTCATTAAATATTTTGCCTACGGGTGATGAATACAGCTGCACTTTCCACCAAGCTTAATTTACACCTGTCAGGTCAGAAGTTAACCTCTTTGGTTTCTTAAATTTTATCTGTATTAAACCCTTACAATTTAAAATGTAGCTGCAAATGGAAAAAAAATTAATAAACATGCAAAGCTAAGACGATAACGAGAAATTGCATTTTCTGCAAAAATGCAGTGTGGATGCTTATTGCTGAAAAACAGCAATTATTCAAAACATGCTGAAATGTAAGAACAATCACCTTGACAGGAGAGCAGGAAGAACATATTTTTGCTGAGTTAAGTTTAAATACGGGGGGAAAAAAACTACAAAAATTTGTAAATTAGCTAAAAAAAAAAAAGCTGAAAAATAGCTAAAAAGTCATCGCTTAAACAACTGGAAGGAGCTGTAAAGATCTCCAAAAATGTGGAATTAGCTGAAAAGGCTAAATTTAGCTTACAAATGGCTAAATAGTAGCTGAAATAACTGAAACTATAAGAAATATGCTGAAAGGAACACAAGAAGCTGAAATTAGCAGAAATACGTTAATTAGCTTGAAAGTAGCAGAAATCACCATGAAAAACTTTAATTTATCTGAAAAGAGCTGAAATTAGCTTTAAAACAGGTAGCTGAAACAGTAGAGCAAGCTTAAATTGGCAGAAGCAGCAGAAAGAACACAGTTACCCATTTAGGCTGAAAGAAGTAGAAATGAGCACAAAAAAGCTGAAAAAAAAGCAACAACAAAAAACAGCTGCAAAGTAGCTAAAAAAGCAGAAAGAAGCTTAAATAACCAGAAGGAAGTGAAGAGAGCACATTTTTGCTGGATTAGGCTGAAAAAAGTTGAAATGAGTGCAACAAAAGTGGAATTGGCTGAAAAAGCTAAAATGAGCATAAAACCTGCTAAAATTGCTGAAATAGCAGAAAAGGCTTAAACTTGCATTAAAAAAGCTGAAATTAGCAGAAAGACATAAAAAAATTGTATTTAGAAGAGATTTTGAAAAGAGCACAAAACAGCTGAAAGTAGCTAAAAAAGTGTAAATTTGCACAAGGAAGCTAAACCAGAACAAAATGTGACAGGAGCAGTTAAAGGTTGTAAACAGATTTGAAGGATGGAAAATGAGCTCAATTTGTTTTCTATTTAAAAAAGTGGCAGAAAAGGTTAAATATTTCAAAAAGCTAAAGTTGCACCAGTATCAAAAGTCATAGCACCCTTCTCCTGAATGAGCTGAATGTTTTGATACATGATTTTCTTTTTAAATAGCACAAAAACTGGAACGAGAAAGATGCTGAAAAACGTACGTAAGAAAACTGGATCACAATAGTGTGAATGCTTCATAAACAGTCACACAATTAGCTGTGCATCTTGTGGATGCACTCCCCAACCTGACTGCAGCATCTCAGGTCAAACCCTTCCTTCTCGTCACGGCCCTGCCAAGCACAATGGAGAATGTGGCAGAGCTCGATGCCTTTTGTGTCCACACAGATTCCTTGTTTTGCCCCGGGGTGGGCGGAAATCGAGGCATTTGATCTGAATTCTAAAGAGTCTTGTTGCAGCCTCATAAAGGGCACCATTGTATGCAAATGGTTTATATAAGAACATATGACTGCTACGGTGCAGGGCAGCGGCAAGTGGTGGAGGAATGATTTGCATTTTCCAAACGCACGGTCTTCTCAATCCAGCCTTTTGGCTCGCCAATAAACCCAATATTTCATTCAGTTTCTTCCCACTTTGTACACATTTTTGTGTACCACCACAGCAGAAGGTAAAGTTTATCCTCTTCATCCTGTTTTATACTAACACACTGCATGAATAGAGGCTGGGTTTGATGTGGCTGATGTGCCATTGTCCTCAACACATCTTCAATGTTATTGGGACAAGTCGTAGTAGTCATAATTTATTCCTTAAGGATATGTTCACAAAGTTTTTATCTGGTGTATATTTTCTCAGTAAATACTTATTTAATGTCTCAGAAGAAGAGTTTTATATCCTGCTGGTTTCTTGAAGGCAGCAGCTTGTCCGTCTGACTGGGTCAGTTTGGGAGTACAGTATTAATACAATGTGAGCAAATCACGTGGGCCTGCAAATGTTTTGCAATTGGCTTCGATATCTTGCATCTTGTGACGACGGGAGGCCATCGCCCCTGCTTTTATACAGCCAGCAGACTTCTTGGCATTTCTTGCAAGTTGCTCCTTAAGGAATCAAGCTTGATGCTCAGGTCCAAACCTCAAGATGGTCGTCTTTGGATCCGGCGCTGCTTGCACCGCTGGCTGAGCCTGGTAAACTTGTGAAAACTAGTCTTAATGTTCACGGCACTTAGAGTTTTTTTGTTGTATTTAAATTGTTTGTAATGAGGCTTGGTTAGTTTCTGTAGATGTGTTTTGTAGTTTTAGATTTTAAGTTATTTGTACGGTTTTCTGGGAAATTCAGTTAATTGATTTTTACCTCAGATTTCATTCAGTTTGACCTTTTGTTATTGCAGACCTGGAGTCGAAGATGAACTGGGGGACCTTTTATGCCGTGATCAGCGGCGTAAACAGGCACTCCACTGGCATCGGACGCGTCTGGCTCTCGGTCATCTTCATCTTCCGTATCCTGGTGCTGGTGGTTGCTGCTGAAAGCGTTTGGGGGGATGAAAAGTCCGGCTTCACCTGCAACACCCAGCAGCCCGGTTGCAACAGCGTCTGCTATGACCAGTTCTTCCCCGTCTCGCACATCCGGCTGTGGGCTCTCCAGGTCATCCTGGTATCCACCCCCGCGCTGCTGGTGGCCATGCACGTGGCCCACCGGCGGCACATGGACAAGAAGGTCTTGAAGAGGACGGGCCGCAGCAGCCCCAAGGATCTGGAGCACATCAAGAACCAGAAGTTTCAGATCACAGGAGCTCTGTGGTGGACGTACATGATCAGCATCATCTTCAGAATCGTCTTGGAAGTGGCTTTTCTCTACATCTTCTACTTGATCTACCCTGACTTTAAGATGGTCCGTTTGGTCAAATGTGACTCGTACCCTTGCCCAAACACAGTGGACTGTTTCGTCTCCAGACCGACAGAAAAGACCATCTTTACCGTCTTCATGCTGGCCGTATCTGGGGTGTGTGTGCTGCTCAACGTGGCCGAGGTGGCATACCTCGTAGGCAAGGCATGCAAACGGTGCGCAGGCCGCTCTGAAGAGGAGTCGAAAGCAGCCTGGATAAGTCAGAGGTTGTCGTCTTACAGGCAAAACGAAATCAATCAGCTGATAGCAGATCATTCTCTCAAGTCCAAGTTTGCTGTGAGCAAAAAAAGCCCAACGGAGAAAGTCGAGAGTTGTTCGGCTTTCTGAGACTCCCTCAAACTAAAAACAGTAATGGACATGCGCTGCATTAATGAAACTTGGGTACATCTGATCTTTGTCAGCATTTTGACCTTTTATTTATACATCATGAAGTCACTTTTCTAACTATTCTTGCACTGACATAAACATTTGCAGCTTTTCTTGCCTAAAACTTTTAAAGCCCATGGAGAATCTTCTACGGTTTCCCCTTTTAGCTCATTTTCTACAAATCCGACGTATCTGATGGCGCTGTACAACCATGCTTCCTTTGATTTGATTATTATTTAAGCCTTTCGAGTGTTTTCCATTTATTTCCACACGGTATAAAAAGCTTGTTGACAAGTCGGGAACTGATCGAGTTAAACAAACCGTGACTTGGAGCATGATGCCTTCATTTGTTTTGTTCGATGATGCATATTTGTTGTATGACAACACACTTTTAAAGGGTGCTCTTTTGGGGGGTTATTTTTGTATCTTGCAGGTGTTTAAAGATTCATAATTGCTTCCAGCCTTTGTGCATAAATGTTTGAAATAAAAAATCAAATCCAGAACATAGAGATAAAGCACAGATTGTGAAAAGTGCTTTGTAAATTTGCACAGTTTGCATGAATATGTTTTATTCGTGTCCCTTTCTTCTAAACTTGTTAAGCTGCTTGTGTATAAATTTCCATGCAACTTGCAAAATTAGTAAGAACTTGCCAGCTGTGGAAAAAGCACAAAAATAGTGAATTGCTCAAAAATCTAATTTTAACCATACTTTCTTAGCTAACATTGAAATGGCTTAAGTAGCATTTGCTTTTATTTAAATAACCTGAACTAAAGTTATTGCAATTTTCTACCCTCATTTTTTGCTTTTTTACTACAACTTGATCTTCAGCAATATGGAAAAAATGACCAGAATATCACTTATGGTTATTTTAAATGGCAAAGTTGTTTAAATGTTGGGTAAGGACGTCACTATAATCCCAGGTTACATGTTAAATCATTCACAGTAAATAATAATTGCATGAATATGAGTCATATGTGTTATAGTCTGCCTCAAAATCCTTTTCATAAAAAAGTCTTGATTTTTTTAAATCCTGTTGTAACGTGTGTTTTAGCCTGTTGTTTTGGAAACAAAATACACAGGTAGTTGTTAAAAAAAATGGATTTTTAAGTCATTCGGAGCAACAATTGTCATAAAATTCAATATTCCAAACGAATATATTAATTTAACTGAGTTTTCTTTAAGATAAAAAGTTAAAACTATGCAGTTTAATAATTGCTTCCTTGAAGTTTTCTTGTGTTTGGCTCTTACAAGCATTTAAAATGGACCTACTTTTAATTTCTTTTTATCGGATAACAGCTGTAAATGTCACCTGCACCCTTTAAAATGAGCTCACATACTTTTTTTATCAGCTTATGTTTTTTTATATATAATTATTTAGCATCTGTTTGGTTCAGAATACTTGATGTCCAAAAGCACGGGGTGTTGATTTTGTACCTTTGTTATGGAGTTAACCTATATTTTGCACATATTGTAACGTGCACAAAAACCCACCCGCTGGTATGAATACCTGCATCAATTTACAGCCAGGTAAACAACCTTGATCAAATATGACGGGTCCAAACAGTGTAAAGTGTATCTTATGTATTATAAGGAAATAAATTGCTTGATCGGTTGACTTCATTTGAAGTTATTTATCAAATAAAATGTTGCTAATTTCAGTAAATAGCATTTGATTACCGCAGCTAGACGTTCAGATCTCTCACAGAAGTCGTTTTATTATTTTATTTTTGGCCTTCTTTTTGTGACTAACTTGAAGATGCCACTGACGACTCTTCTCTGAATCATGCCACTTGCCCACCCACCCTCAGTGATAGGAGATAGACCCCCTCCGTGCTATATTTAGACCCCAGGGGCTCTTGTGGCTACACGGGGTTAACAGACATCATTGGTTAGCCTCCCTGTCAATCAGTGCAACGGCCGAGTGGATGGCGTTCAAAAGTTTACTTTAGAGAGTCCACTGTGCCAAATTTAACCACAGGCGAGAGGGAGGGGTGGAAGGAGGGCAGAGTGGACATGGTTCAGTGTGTTTCCGGTGGGTTTGTGTGTGTGTGTGTGTGTGTGTGTGTGTGTGTGTGACATGGTCAACAGAGGACCCTGGGCCAGGGTGTCTGAGCGCTGGTTTCTGCCCGAGCTGAACTTTGAAGACAGAAGTCTGAGTCAGAGGGTTTGTCAGCGTGGAGCTGAGCTTGTTGCCAGCAGGAGTCTAGTCTTCTTGTCCATTCAAGGACATTGCTTTGGGCCCTGAGATCAGCGCCGCGCTAAGGCCTGTCTGTGGGAAACACGGCGGCCTTATGGACCCTCCAAGACATGAAGAGCCTCACCGCTGAGCTGACATGGTTGATTTCTGCTCTAAATGTAAGTTTGTATTTGTTGAAACTGTGTACTTCATGCGTTGTTCACTGTAGATTTAGTTGCACATTGTCTGAAAAGAACAGTTTTTACCTTTTCATTGACCAAACATTATATGCAGATACTTCCACAATAATCAGATTTCATAAAGTGTTTTTGTTTAGACCATGACGTTTTCCTCTATTGCAAGGTCCATACCTAGACGTGAAAACTATTAATATGTCCATATATTTAAACTACTGCTTTTTAGGTCTAGATCAGTATGGAAAATTATCAGTTTCCAGATCCACCTAGTGTACTTTCTTCTTAAAAATCTAAAAGTTGCTTAAAGAGCTATTTTTCATCTAGTCACCACAATGTGCATCTTTTCTTCCATTAACCTCCAGTAACTAGTCCTGAAAATGAAACTGGGAGCGCAGATGTTTCCTTGTTGTGGCGCACCGTCTATACCAAATATGATGTCATCAATGAACATACAATCATTAAGTTGACGAGCACAAAGAGATCTGTTAGCGAGTCTACTCTCAACTATGACCACACCGATTTTTAACTATCCGTAAAATTTACAGCGTTCAAGCCATTTTTTATGTTAATTAACTGTGGTGAAAGCCTTGAATCGAGTTGACACTGAAAGTTAATCGATTGTACATCCAGCGATTAATATATGAGTGTTTCGTCAAAATGTGTCCAAGTGGGTCATGAGATATTTTGCTAACAGACATAAATGAACACACACATACACACAAAGACACAGGCAATAACATGACTGCCCACCTTTCTTGGCGATGCGCTTTAAATATTTTACATAAACATGCAGATAATAAAGTTGCACCACTAAGTTGGTCAGTTATAGTAAATTTAACATCTCATAAAATAAAAAATGACTTGAAAATTGGCAGGATAAAATAAAATTTGAGCGGCTCACACCAGCTGTCAGAATGTCCCTTTGGGTAGAACATCTGGAACTTCCTGTCCTGCTACTGTTTAATGAATCCTTCAGAAGAGGAATGTATTTATAACATGGCTGGTATCAGAAGATGTCGGGAGCCACATTAATCACCTGTTGGTTTGCTCCTCCATCACGTCTTCCTGGTGTTTGATTTCACCTCCTGACGGTCGTGTCCTGGACATGTCTCCGTGCCGGGACATGGAGAATCCTGGCTGAAACCTGCCCTGCTCCTGTCCACACTTGCCAAATATATACTCTTCTAAAGTAAATATAATCCTGTCTGCATCCATACAAATAAGACCACTACCTCCTCAGCTGCCAAGCACCCCACCCCCCACCCCCCGCAGCTGAATCCTGAGCTTGGCTCCTAATGGACCTGTTTCCTTACTTTTAATTTGGTAACATCTTGGACGCTGCAGCTCAAACTACTTTAAATGTTTCATTTAAGTGTATCATAAACTTATTGTGCAGAAAGGTATGTATTTAAACTAGAGAAATCCCATTTTCTGCCAAAATGCTGTATGCTGAGAGCCAAATGAATAAAGAAATTTGCCCAAAAAATTTAACTGAGTTGTTAAAGCTAAACAAGCAGAACAATAGCAAAAAAAGAAAAGAAATTCTAGTTTAAAGCTAATACACAAACTAAAAATTAAAGGCAGCAAAATGCTAGCCAATATGGCAACACACTAGTTAAAAGGTAAAAGTAGTAAAATGCTACCTAAAAGGTAAAATTCAATTAAAATCAGTTAAATTATATAGCGCCAAATCACAACAGAAGTTGTCTCAGAGCACTGAACAGAAACATTCACATACAGTACATTATAAAAGCCAACCAGTAAAGTTCTCTAAGGAAGCAGCAGATTGTGTTGAAAATTCATTTTGTGGCAGTCTCCCATCCTGAGCAAGCACAAAGGTAACAGTGGAAAGAAAAAAACTCCCTTTTAACAGGAAGAAACCTCCAGCAGAACCAGGCTCAGGACGAGCGTCCGTTTGCTTCAAATGGCTGGATTTGAGAGGACAGGAAGGAGAAACAAACACAGAATGGCAGGTCCATGTGTACTTTGTATTAGAAGAAAGACAAAAAGCACGTGTTAATGATAGAAATACATACAAACACAAACAGGTAAAGTAAGTAAAGACAGTAGCAGAGTGAGGAAATGTGCTCAGTTTGTCCTCCAGCAGTCTATAGCAGCATAACTAGGGGATAGCTCAGGAAACCCAAGCCAACCTTAACTATAGGATTTATCCATCCATCCATTATTGTAACCGCTTCTTCCATTTTGAGTCACGGGGGTCACTGGTGCCCATGTTCAGCCATCAGTGTGTGAGGGGTGGGGGACACCCTGGACAGGTCTCCAGTCCATCACGGGGACACATAGAGACAAACAAGACAAACAACCATTCACTCTCTCACTCACACCTAGGGACAATTCAGAGTTACCAATCAGCCTAACATGCATGTTTTTGGTCTGTGGGAAGAAACTGGAGTACCCGGAGAAAACCCACGCATGCACGGAGAGAACATGCAAACTCCACCCAGAAAGGCCCCCGGCCGGGATTGACCTTCTTGCTGAGAGGTGGCAGCTTTACCAACCGTTCCACCGTGCTGCCCCAAACAGTAGCAAGCACCAGTTAAAATAAATAGGTAAATGTTATCCATCCATCCATTATCTTTACCCGCTTCTTGCATTTTGGGTCATGGGGGTCGCTGGTGCCCATGTCCAGCAATCACTGTGCGAGGGGCGGGGTACACCCTGGACGGGTCGCAAGTCCATCACAGGGCCACATAGAGACAAACGAGACAAACAACCATTCACTCTCTCACTCACACATAGGGACAATTTAGAGTTACCAATCAGCCTAACATGCATGTTTTTGGTCTGTGGGAGGAAAACGGAGCACCCGGAGAAAACCCACGCATGCACCGAGAGAACATGCAAACTCCACCCAGAAAGGCCCCTGGACCGGGGTTTGAACCAAGGACCTGCTCGCTGAGAGGCAGCAGCTCTACCAGTTGCGCCACCGTGCTGCCCTGTAAATGTTATCATAAAGCTAAATTCAAGCTAAAAGCAAAATAATAATAATTTACATACAGCTAAAATTAGCAACTTAAAAGTGGCAAATCACTGATCAAAGTCAAAAAGTAGAAAACTGTTGGCTAAAGGTAACAAAACGCTAGCTAAAAAAGTTAAGTAGCAAAACCCTTTCAAAGGAAAATGTATCTAAATGCTAGCTTAGCCTACCCTGGCTAGAAGCTAAAAGGAGCCAAATACAAAAGGCTAATGCAATAGAACATTAGCTAGCTAAACGTAATCAAATATTAGTTAAAAGCTAAAAGTAACATAAGAAGACAAAAACATAAAGCTTGCTAGAGTTCACCAAAAACAATTTTTACAGAATTGGAGATCTCAATGTATTTTTAAGATTTTTTTTTTTTTTGTCGACAAAGCCTAAAAGTTACTAAAACTAAGTCATAGCCAAAATGCCACGAATGAACCGAACGTTTTGACATTTGAATGGTTAAAACAGCACAAGGTCTGAAATAGTTGCATGACAAAAAAAGGAGAACAAGAAAAAAGAATAAAGAGAAACAGGATAAGATCAGCAAACATACAATGAATTAAAAAACATTTTTATGCTTCTTTACTCCCAGCTCTGACCTCACACAGCTATGGGAGACTGGAACCTGCTGGGAAAGCTTCTGGAAAAAGCCCAGGAGCACTCCACGGTGGTGGGGAAGGTGTGGCTCACCGTCCTCTTCATCTTCCGCATCCTGATCCTGAGTGCCGCGACAGAGAAGGTGTGGGGCGACGAGCAGTCGGGCTTCACCTGCGACACCAAGCAGCCCGGTTGCGAGAACGTGTGCTACGACATCACCTTCCCCATCTCCCACGTGCGCTTCTGGGTGCTGCAGATCATCTTTGTGTCCACACCTACCCTGATCTACCTGGGGCACATACTCCACCTGGTGCGAATGGAGGAAAAGCAGAAAGAGAAGGAGAAAGAGCGGGAGCTTCACTCAGACCATAAGGCCCCATTGATAGATGCTCATGTTCACCACAAGAAGGCTCTTATAAGAGACGAAAAAGGACGCGTACGCCTGCAGGGGGAGCTCCTGCGCACATATGTCTTCAACGTGATCTTTAAGACACTGTTTGAGGTGGGCTTCATTGTAGCCCAGTACCTCTTATATGGTTTTGAGCTGAAACCCATGTACACATGTGACAGACCACCATGTCCCAATGTGGTGAACTGCTACATATCCCGCCCAACTGAGAAAACTATCTTCATCATCTTTATGCTCGGAGTGGCCAGCGTGTCACTGTTCCTCAACCTCATAGAGATCTACCACCTGGGCTTTACAAAGTGCAGCCAAGGCATCACTTTCAGGAGGGGCCGAAGGGCCCTTGAGGCCATCTCGAAAGAGCCCAGTGTGACTGCGGTGCCCTTTGTTCCGAGCTACGATGATTACTTCCCGGGGCACCACCAAGCCCAGCCTGTCTACCCACCTGTACCCAGCTACAACCCCTCACCTCTGTCTGAGGGGGCAGACTCGTCCTTGCACCCGTACCACAGCAAAGCAGCGTACAAACAGAATAAGGACAACTTGGCAGTAGAAAGGAGCAGCAGCAAGCCAGAGGAATGTGACCTGAAAGGGAAGAAAGGAGCAGAATCGGCCCCTGGGTCTCCTACACAGACGAGGTCCGGCCACGGTGCCAAACACAGCAGCAGCAAGACTAGAATAGACGATCTGAAGATATGAGGAGGTTTATGTTTCTTGCGAGGCTCTTAAATTGCCGTTCGAGGATCGAATGTTGCTTGGAAACTACCGTACACGCTAAACTCGGCCTCATTTTGAAGATGGCTCAGGTTTGACTCATTCCAGCGTAGAGAGGAGTTGCATTTCGGAGAAGATCTGGCAAGTGTACTGTGACCTGTAAAACCATATTCAGTACAACTAAATCATTTTCTGACAAACTGTTCTAACTGGCTGTACTGTTATCCTTTACTGAAGCCTTTCTGTTTTAGGAAGCATCACTGGGCTTAGTTTTTGTCAGAAGCACATGTGGTTTAGATCAGCATACATTTATTCATAAATGTTGATGACTGTTGGTGTTTTATATGTATGGGAATCTTTCTGCTGTTCATTAGACCGTCCCATCAGGTTTGCATTTTATTAGTCCTAATTAGTGAAAACAAGGAAATCCATGGCAGGTACATGTTCAGCACAGACTTGGCTTGAAGAAGTAGTCCAAATCTTTTTTGAAGTAAGGTTCTATGGAAAGGCTATAAATGATTAATACACCTGCTGTACCTTTTTGAACAGTCCCAGTTTGGAGAAATAGAGACCGACGTCCACTCATTCACTAACCTGTGGGTCAGCCGTTCTAACAGTCATTATCTTTACCCGTTTCTTCCTTTTTAGATCATGAGGGTCACTGGTACCCATATCCAGTAGTCACTGTTTGAGAGGTGGGGGACACACTGGACAGGTCTCCAGTCCATCACAGGGACACATAGAGACAAATGAGACAAATGATCATTCACTCTCTCACTCACACCTAGGGACAATTTCGAGTTACCAATCAGACTAACATGCATGTTTTTAATCTGTGGGAGAACAGAAAACCCACACATGCACAGAGAGAACATGTAAACTCCACCCAGAAAAGCCCCCAGACTGGGATTTGAACCGGAGCGACCTTCTCGCTGAGAGGTGGCAACTCTACCGTGTCACCGTGCTGCTGCCCAGAAACAAGTATGTGTAAATTAATTTTATGTCAGCGTTATGCATGTTCTCTCTGTGCATGTGTGGTTATCTCCAAGTACTCCAGTTTCTTCCCACAGACCAAAAACATGCATTTTTTTTTTCCTTAGATAGAGAACTTTACTAATTGGTTTTTATGTATGTGAATGTTTCTGTAAAGTGCCCTGAGACAACTATGTTGTGATTTGGTGCTATGTAAATAAACTGAATTGAATGTTTGACTGACTGGTGACTCTAAATTGTCTCTAGGTGTGAGTGAGAGAGTGAATGGTTGTTTGTCTCGTTTGTCTCTTAGTATGATTAATAATACTATGTGTCCCTGTGATGGACTGGAAACCTGTCCAGGGTGTCCCCCACCTCTTGCACAGTGACTTCTGGGCATGGGCACCAGTGACGCCCACGACCCAAATATGATGAAGCGGGTAAAGATAATGGATGTATGGATGGAAAACCATTGAAGTTTTGTTGTCTGTAGAGCATCCCAACATGTCAACAGTTCATGCTCAATAATCCAGGTACAAATCCAACAATGTTCAGTCAGGTCATCTGGACGGTTTCTTTTTTTTTTTTTTTTTGAAACATTTTGTCCTTTATCTGAGGTTTTTTCCACTATGGGAGAGTGATATTTGTGGGACTCCAGTTTGTTTGTGGCTTTTCAGACTGAAGAAGTCCTTTGGATGAAGGACGAAACGTCTCAGCAAAAAAAACAGAAACCGTCCAGACATCCCAACATACAGTATCTTCATAGAGGGTTTATTTATGCAACTGAAGACTGTAATTATATAGATACATAATTATGAAGTACAAAGTACAAAAACACCAGACTGTCCCCATCCCACAAATAGTCCACTATAATCTGATCATCATGTAGTGAACGAGTGCACATTTTGAACACAACCATAAATGCTAATTTTGACGAGCTAACAGTTAGACCAAGTGCAGCCAATCACTGCCTTCTTAAAACAACTCCAATCTTTATTTTATTTTTAACGTGAAATAGAACGTCATAGTTATTTGCAGTTTCTAATAGCATTAGTAGCAGCTAGCTGTAGCAAGTCCTGTGCAGAATGTGAAACTTCTGACAAGAATCTTGAATTTCTGTCATAACACTCACGTAATGTGAAATTGACATATGTGTAATAATGTATAAAATATTTCAGGTAACCTCCATGAAATATTTTAGATGGGAGTTATTTCTTTAAAGATGGCAGCAGTCCACTTTGGTTCCACTCAGACTAGCCTTAAGCTCATCTATTGGGTAAAAAATGAACTATATCTCCAAACTGAGCTATCTACAACAGGTAAGATATTGTTTATACCTTTTCCACTGAGCCACACTTGAAAACAGCTGAGCTAATGCTTAAGGTTAAGTAAAACTACCAGTTATGATGAACTTCATTTGATTTCTTTGAGGTCATCGTCAAGCTTAGTTCATTCGCTCTCACTTGAAGTGACGAGTTGTGCAATACTTGACAAAACACCAGAACGACTGTTCCTAATTCCAAATCACGCTTCGGAAAAACTGAACTTGTGTCATAGGTTTCAACATTTGTGCTGGCTTTATTTATTATTCAAACAGCCATCAACTGCATAATTGTAAGCACATTTTTTTGTTTATTCTTCTTCTGTAAAGCACTTGGTGACAACCGTGTTTGTTAAACTGCCTGAAATAAAACCGTCTTAAATTTGCACCACTTGCAGTTTGTTTATGCCTCGACTATATCGGGGAAAGGGGAGTTGTTTCACTGGAAGACAAACGCTGCAGCTGTCTTTAAACTTGTGTTGTTTCACACTTGAACTCTTGTTTGAATATATCAGGAAGTGCTCATGAGCAGAAAACATAATGTACTTCAAAATCCACATAGTTCTTTGTTTAATCCCTGAGATTAAAACGAGCCAGTATAGTTTTGAGTCATCTGGCTGTCAGCCTGTTAAAATCGAACAGGTCGGAGCAGGAATAAAGGTATGAAGTCTCACTCAGCTTTAAAAGTTCGACCCTTGCATGCCGAAGGTATTTTGTGTCCAGGTTATTTACCTGTTTAAAAGTCATAAAACCAAAGCAACAAGTCCAACCCAAGACAAGATTTAATCCTCTGTAGACATTTACATTATTGTTCATGTTGCCAAACTTAACACAGCAAAGCACAGCTGAATCTGTGGCCAGAACATTTATTTATCTTTAATTTAACCTTTATTTAGGTCACGTCAATCACACATTTAATTTGTTGAAGCTCCAAGTCAACCCAGCTGAGGTGAGTTCACCTTCATTTCATGCTAGGACGGGTGTTGTGCCAAAAAGTGTTCGCCGCAGGAGCACGCAGCCCGAGTCTCTGCTTCTGCTCTTGGAGTCAAACAAAAATAACCCTAACAGAGGTTTAATTGTTTCTCCAAGATTATAAAGGTACTCATGTTATGTTTGTGAAAATGTCAGTTTCATGCGTTTGTCATAAGATTTTAATATTACATGGTATTATAGGCTAAATAAACACTGTGTGCATGTCCATAAGCTGGTTTCTGTTTGGAGCAAAAGCATGACATAACTGCATTAAATAATCATAAATTCATAAAATATGTTGTTGCTATGATTCACATGTGGACATAAAGCAAAAGTTCTGAATGAAAAGGAGTAGTTTGAAGAAAAAATCTTATATAGTCTACCCCTTTTCCCAAAAGTCAATCTACTACACCACAAGCAACCGAGTTTCAATGAACCCTTCACGTAGACACATCTTTGAACACAAAACAGGCACTGTGTACATATAAAGAAAACAAACAAATAAACAACAATCTTTGTTACGATACAGAACTCTGAATCAATGTACTTCATTGTGCCTTGAAAGAAAATTATATTTTATTATTTTCTTAAAGGATCTAGTCTCTTTGGATTCTTCAGACAGACTGTTCCACAGATTTTTTTCATAAGTCAAAATACAACGATACATTTGTTTAGTTCAGACTTTGGGTTTTTAAAAAAAAAAATCTCTTATCCTCTCAAATTATAAATTCTGTCTCTTCTAATAAATCTTTTTTGCAAATGCATTGGTAACATCTGTTATGTATTTTAAACATAACTTGCAGAATATAATAATCCACCAAGTTGTGAAATTTCATTAATTTTAAGTTACAGAACAATGGATTTGTTGGATCTCTGTATCGTATTCCACTTATAATTCTAATAAATCTTTTTTGCAGAATAAAAATAGAATTTGTATACTATTTACAGGCATTCTCCCAAACTTGTAGAAAATAGTTCAAATAGGGAATGATGAGTGAATTATACAATATCAACAATGCTTCATCATTTAATGAGTCTTTCACTTTATATAATAATGTAATTATCCTTGATACTTTTATCCTTAAATTATTGATATATGGTTTCCTGTTTATATTTTCATATGCTTAATCACAACCCTATCAGCATTAATCAACACATCTGTAGGAATCTCTTTATTGCTAAATATTATGTAATTAGTTTTTTCAACATCATTTTTATTCACTTTGCCTGCATTATTCCCAACCATGCAGTTATGTAATGTCCAAGTACTTTTAGCCGCACAAAAGTCTGTAAGTTATTTTCAAATACAACAACACTTGTAATGTTTTATTGCCTTTATATAACTTTGTTACATTCAAAAGGATATGTTTAAAATGAGAACTTAAGCCGTTTTATTGCACAGTACAAAATAATTCCTTTTTTTATTTGCCAGACTGACAGACTTTTGAAATTACAAAAAATATTGAAAAACACTTTATTAGATCAAAGTCTTGATTTCTTACTCAGATGTGATGAAAATGAACTTTGTCATATCTCAAATGCTTGTAAAGCAATAAAAGTCTAAAACAAAAAAAAAAGCAGTTCTGAAGAATGTCATGTTTTTTTTATTCTGTAGAAATTGCAAAAAAAAAAATACAAAAAAACCCCCAGCTCAACCAAAAATAAGAAATATTTAGTAAAGCACTATATAAACCTACACAAGGATTTCTTTATTTTTCCCACTGATATAAAAAGTATCATCCAAGTGGTGTTCATTCTATATTCAGCTGTGTAGGTTCCTGTGCTGCCCACATCCTTCACTTTGTGCACGAGCTCTCACGCTGGTGGTCATTTCTGTGGAAAGATCGCCATCTGCTGGACACAAGTAACACAAGCAACAGGCTCTATTAGGCCATTTCTGATTAGTCTTCTTGATGGATTGCTGATTAATGCAGCTAATTTTGAACAGCTGTTTGGTTACAGACACCAACTTGCTCCAACTCCCAAACTCAGCATGATTCAGTCTGAGAGCAAACGGAGAAATAAATAAATACTAAGAGAGAGGAGGCTCACCAGAGCACGTAGGAGGAAAACGACCAAAAGTCAGCTGCTGTCATGCTTTCTGAGGCAGAAAATATCTTTAGAGCCGTGCATCTGTCAGTTCTTATTCCAGCCTCGTTGTTGCATGGAGAGAACAGGCTGACCGCTTGCTGCCACTCTGTGATCGCTCAAACTCTGCACAAGACGACTCCCGAAACACTGCAACCGTTTGGTTTCCCCATAAGGACAGGAGAAAACGGAGTCCATTGTGTGGAGGAAACGTTTTTATCATCTGATGCTATAGGGACATGTTTTGGCTTGTCCCTGTATTAGTCTGTTAGCAAAATATCTCATGAACCCCTGGATGGATTTTGATGAAACTCAGAAAGTAATCATTACATGAACATCTACAATGATTAACAGTTGGAGTCAGCACCGTTCAAGATGACCTCAACAGGGAACGGATTTTAGAAAACATAAAATTGGCAACAACTGAAGCCACTTGGACAGATGTTGTGATGAAATTTGAGGCAGTAGCTGAGTCCTCAGCAACACACAATGTGAGCTCTAACGGATCGCCCAGAATCTGTTTTTAAAACGTTAACTATTCGAGTCAACCCGCAAATCATCTCAGGAACCACCGAGTTGATTTTAATGAAATCCCCAGAAAGTAACAATTTCGTGTTGCTCTACATCTGATTAACTGTTGGAGCAAACTCAAATCAAGATGGCCGCTACAGCCAACTGAACTTTGAGAACAGAAAAAATGAATTAAAGTCCATTTTCCTGATATTGCACTAAACATTGGTGTAGCAGCTGAGAGTCAACCACAACACAACAGTTTATGAAATCTTGCAATATTGCGAGGGATTACTGTGTTTTCTGGCGTATAAGTTGTAGTTTTTTTGAGTTGTCAGTCCTGCGGCTTACATAGATGGTTTAATATTCATAACACAATTTTAGACTGACGATTTAATTTTCCAAGAACTGCAACAGCAAGTCTCCCTGTGCACGCTCGCGTCACACAGCTGGTGCAGGCAGAGGAACACTAGAGCTCATGGCTCCGGCCACGATGGATGGATGAATGGATGGATGGATGGATGGATGGATGGTGCCGCTCCGTCCAGGCGAAATGAAGCTGTTTTGACCATTAAAGTGCATTTATTAAAGAAAAGTTAAACTGAGACACAACGTTGCTATAATGTCGAGCAAACAAATAAATGTTTTTAAGTGTTAATCTTGTTAAATTTCTAAGAACTGCAACAGCGAGTTCTCCCATGCGCGCTCGCTTTACTCAGCTGGTGCAGGCGGAGGAACGCTGGAGAGCTAGCGGCTCCGGCCAGCCACTCAGCAAGCAAGCAAGCAAGCAACTAACTAACTAACTAACTAACTAACTAACTAACTAACTAACTAACTAACTAACTAACTAACTAACTAACTAACTAACTATCTATCTATGTATGTATGTATGTATGTATGTATGTATGTATGTATGTATGTATGTATGTATGTATGTATGTATCTATCTATCTATGTATGTATGTATGTATGTATGTATGTATGTATGTATGTATGTATCTATCTATCTATCTATCTATCTATCTATCTATCTATCTATCTATCTATCTATCTATCTATCTATCTATGTATGTATGTATGTATGTATGTATGTATGTATGCATGTATGTATGTATGGATGGATGGATGGATGGATGGATGGATGGCGCCGCGTCACCCAGGCAAAATGAAGCTGTTTTGACCATTAAATAAACGCATAATAAACATGACAGATCAGCAGTGATGCATAATAAATGCAACTTATACGCTGAAGTGACTTGTGTTTTTCTCCTTTTTTTGACTGATGCGACATATACGCTGGAAAATACGGTCCCTACTTCCTTAACAAGAATTGAGCTAAATGACTATATCCCTGCCATTTCTCATCATATTTGTATGAAAGTGTAGTATGTAAGGTGGCGGGCCTTGTATGCGTTGCTCCAAGGAACTCGTGGCATTTCATTTAAAATTGTGAATAAAATGATAAGTCCCATTAGTTTTTATTGCAGGAGCAGATCTATGGGATAATAAAAATGCTTGTGGGATAAACAAAATAACAACCCTGTCTATTAAAAATCAAGCCACACAAAGACCCCCCTCATAAAGCCCCCCCGGTTCAGAATGCCTTACACAACAGATGAAGAGTCATTGCCTCCTGTGGGATGCAGCTTGTTCATCACGCGCAGACCTAAAAAAAAAAAAGGGTCACCCTTGGATCAAAAGATCCTTTCAGAGATAAGGACTTTCGCTAATTCATCGACATAGTTTTGGCTTTTTCATAACCTCAAACATGTACACAAATATTGACTGACTTTTACACAATTCATTAACGCGATTACACTGGAAATAAATAAAAAACCAGACTGGCTTGTGTAAGATTTCTTCCACTTAGCTGAAGCTAAATCTGTGGATTGTACGAACACAGCTCTGTGTAACAGACACATTCATTAATAAACATGACATTCTACAGAGCTGCAGTTTTTAGTTTTAAATTCCACACTAAATTGTTTTCATCCAAGACTCTGTTAATTTACTACAGTGGTGCCGTTTTATTATGCGCATTACTGTTCGCCTGCTTGTTAATAAAATATAAAGTCCACTGAATGCATTTAAATAACAACCATCAGTAGTAATCACTGGATGTTAATCTACAACTGATTAACTTTTGAGATGAACTGATTCAAGATGGCCACCACAAATTGTCCTTAGCTTACACTGAAACGGTTAGAACGCAGAAATTGTTGCAAAAATGAAGCTAAAATTTGATGTGGTCATAGCCGAGTCGTTCACAACACATCCCTTAACTCAGGGGTGCCCAAACGTGTTCATATGTGGGCCCAAACTATCCAGATGAAAGAACTCGTGGGCCACAAAACTCCCAACGAGAACATTTTGGAGAAACAACTAATTTTGGTGAAGAGTTTTAAATTGTTGTAGATCCAAAACATTAAAAGCTTCATAAACACTAAGCTTATTTTTATTAAAAAGGATTTGTTGGGTCTATGTTTGTTGTTTTCTTGTGTTTGGAAAGTTCATTGTAGTTTGTTCTCAGCAGCAAAAAAAAAAAAAAAAAAAAAAAGAGTAATTTGACTAAGTGTCCTTGTAAAAGGAGGTCGATCAGCCTTTTGGACCATGGACGACCCAAAAGGCTGATGGAAGTTCTGAAAAATCGTCCAGCTGTCAGTCGCTACAACAGATTCATAGAAAGTTTGATAAAGTATGCAGATGATACCACTTTATATTTGTTTAAAAATGTCCATTTTCCCTCTTGATTATTTTATCAACTGCAATATTTAGACAAGTTTTATGAATCATCATCCAAAAGTCTTTCTGGTAAAGATATTTGGTGCTTTGTAGCATGAAGTGAAAATAAAAAGATTATATCCAAATGTTTGTATTTTGTTTAATATTGCTCATTTTGAGATTGTTTTTCATCTGTTTTGCTGTTAAACCTAAATATTATATAAAAAGGATTACCAACTAATCTGCAGAGAGTCTGCATCGACCTCTAAAGCCTGCAGGCTAAAATGATACCATTCTTAAACTGCAGCTGTGGGCCGCACAAAATCACTCCAAGGGCCACAAATGGCCCTTGGGCCACACTTTGGACACCCGTGTCATAACTGATCTATGGTGTATATGCTAATCAACTAAATGACTGATGATGAAGGTGTTATAATATACAGAATAATAAAAAAATAAAACATGTAAAGCATGAAAAATCTTTTCTAGTTTATTTCATTCTAACAGTTCAGCACTCGTACTTGCACAAACAATCTTTAAAAGAATCAGAACAGTTTCAGCACAAAACGTCCACTTAAATAAAACCCATTTCTAACCGTAGATTCACAACATCACTTCAGTCCGGGGCACAGTTCAATCGGAGATGAACACCACTGGTGAAAATGACCAGCGTTTCTAAACACACAACAAAAGGCTTGATGCGTTTGGACGGGGGCTGAAACTTCAGGACGGGATGATCAGCTGCGCTCAGGACTCGCACTCGCACATCATAAATAATCTAATGTGGTTTGCAGACGTGCCCATCAGTGGAATAACCCGGGATGTATTCTGACATGACAGAGTGTGGAGAGACTCGGCTCAAACAAAGCCTCTTAAGAATCAGAGGTTTAAAAAAAAAAAAAGCAACCATTTCAGAGAAGGACAAAAAAAACAAATGTCTGCTGGGTTTGGCAAGAAACTGCCCCGAGCAGTCTCCTCTTCCTCCACACAGCAAGAAAAATTCAGCACCTCCTGCTCTGCCCTCGGGTTAAAGCTTGTGCGCAAACCAGACGGCCTCCCCCCGGGCTGTCTGGTTTCTCGATGGTGTTGAGTGTTGAAGCCTGCAGGAGGGATGGGTGGGGGGTGGGGGCTCTGTGGATCCATGCCTGCGTCTTTCTGTCCATCTCCGCTGGTCTCAGTAGCTGATGAGGGCACACCTTACTCGTGCTTGCCCTTGCTTTTAGGTGCGCCTTCGTTCCAAGCCACGTACACAAACAGAGCCAAAACCACGTGCACGGCGAGCACGGCCACGATGGCCGCGTAGAAGTAGCTGTCGGAGCTCGACATCTTCATCGCACCTGAGAGGACCAGAGTTAGTGATGAGGACAGGAACTGCTGTTGTGACAAATTATTTTTTTAAGTGAAACAATTAAAATATTTGCATCTTTTATTACATAAAAAAGTCACATGTATCAGGGACGGGAATGTAAGGCAAAGAACCTCGCTGAGTTAATTTAGGTAATTATTTGATTGTTCTTCTGCTTGGGACTTGTTGAGAAAAAGAGTTTACTTGAACCAAGTCCTGAAGATGAACGTCTCTAATGAAACAGAACTAGGAACGTAGGTCGACCCGTAAACTGAGAAGTTCCGCTTCCAGCTCAGCTCCCTCTTCACTACAACAGACCAGAACAGAGTCCACAATACTATGGAAGCTGCGCTGATCTATCTGTCAATCTCACGCTCCATTCTTCCCTCACCCTTGAACAAAAACACAAGATACTTAAGCTCCACTTGAGGCAGAACCTCATGCCCAACTCGGCTGAGGACCATGGCCTCAGATTTGGAGGTTCTGAACCTCATCCCAGCAGCTTCACACTCGTCTGTGAACTGTTTCAGTGAGAGCTGAAGATCACCGGCACGATGATCTCATGCAGTTGTTTGATTATATTTGGATTTGAGATGTTTGAGGTTTGGGTCAGTGCTTAGGACTCGTGCTCCTGAAGCTAACCTTAAAGCTACTTTTCCCTGCTGGGGGAGGTCACTGCCATCAAGGAGGTAGAGGTTTGTGATTAAGCCAGGCATTTTGGGTTTTAATGAGCTGTACGCCATAATCATCAGTATTAAAACAATTAAAGGCCTGAAATATTTCAGTTGGTGTGCAATGAATCTGAAATATATGAAAGTTTCATTTTTATCATTACATTATGGAAAATAATGACCTTTATCACAATATGCTAATTTTTTTAGAAGGACCTGTATAAATGACAGGGCTGAGATCAGAGTCACATGAATTTTGAGCATTTTTAAATATTCGGGAAAATAACAATTGCAGGACAAATGTTCTTAAATTGTTGCCAAGTTACTGTGGGAAAACAGAACCTGTTGAAAGCCCTTATGAATTTAGTTTCTGTAATTCTAGAGAGTTACAGTTGTATTTTTTGTGACGTGCCTCCTGTTCAGTTGTTTGCGACTAAAGAGAAATGTGTGTATTTGTAACGTGGCACTGCTAAATATTGCTAAATAAAATGTGCATTAAAGTTTAGTGAAAAAAAGCTTCACAGGAGGTTGCCTCCTCTCCTAACATGAGACTGTGTTGGGTCTGACAGGTGTGATCAAACTCCCCACATGTCCTTGAAGCAGGTATGCTCTAATCCCTGAACACTAGGACAGGTGAGCTCACGCATTTGGCTCAGATTCCAGCGGTCAAAAGTCATATATCTGAGCAAGGATTAATTTAAAAGGAAAATAAGAATTTGATTCAACTCTGTTCTACATTCTGAGCAACTTTCACAGCAATCTGTTGACTCAAAAGTGCTTTTTGAAGCCACTGAATCAGGATGATCTGATCATGAGGAGAAATTTATGTCTTTTTTTATTTCTCTAAAATTATGAAACTTCTTTATTTCTAAACTAATGTCAACAAAATTGGTATTATTTACTTAGCCATTTAACTGCATTTTATAAAATTAAGTTTTAATGCAAGTTGAGAACTTTTTTGGGGAACATTGCTACTTGAAGGGGGTGTCTGTGTTACTCGTCTCAGTAGATAAAAAGAATTACGCGCCTAGTGCAGTTTACCTCAGCCGACTGAGCGTTAACAGATCTGTGACGCCCCTAGATGTCCGACCTGCACCACTTCTCCAAATCATGCTATCAACGCATAAATACACACAAGCTCCAACATCTCAGTGCAGATGGTCTGAGGTGAATGCTGCAGATGGAAGTGGGCGCCAAAAGAATACAGATAAAATACAGTTTTGCAAGTCATGCATAAAATAAATAGCCATTATTTTCACTTATTGGCTGTGCAAAACCTGACCGCACAGCTAAGCTTGCTGGTGGCTTGGTCACAGGTATTACATGCAAATGAAATAGGCCAATTTTTCCAAAACTTTCTCACAATTTTGAATAAAAAAATTCTCCCATCAAGTCAAGGAAGAAACTAGCTGTAGTCTGAAACGTGTTTTGTGTCTAAGTACCACACAGCAATCTAATGTAGAAAACAGGCATTTTATAAGTTGGTCTTTAATTCTACTTTCAATAAACCCTGACTTCACGACCTAAAACTAAACTGAGGGTAGTTTTATGGATGGAGCGTTGCCCTACTAGAACCCTTCAAATACAGCGGACGTAGTATTAAAGGAAATACTTTTACCCTCAAAGATGTAGGCCTTAGATGTGAAGTACAATCCAATAGGCAGCGTGACCATGAGGATAGTGAAGAACAGCAGTGTCTTCAGGGCTGAAACCAAAGAGCCTTCATTCCTGCAGCAGCACAAATTCACATTTAGTAAAGAGATAAACCAACCGCGAGCCTTCTGTCGGACAGCTGCGGGACTTTACCAAACCCAACGATGTGGGGGTGCACCTCGGTCATGATTAATGTCGGGTAGTAGTACTAGGACACATTAAAAAGAGCTCTTTCATGATTTACAGCCTACATGTCCAGAACTGAGAGACGCGGCCGAGCGTCAACAAGAGCTAGCTTCTTGCTAACGGTCGCTAACTGATGAATTAAAAGGAATAAATGTTCTCACCCTCTAAAAATCGGAGGCGGTCCAGCTGAGGTGTCTAATGATGCTCGGACATTTCCGTCCATGTCTGCCTGGATATGAGGCAACTTACAAAGAGGGAGGTAAAGGTATATTAAGATAGTTTCTGGTATTATGAGCTCACAGTAAATCCTGTCTTCCTGTGTGGCCACGGGACCGTCACGTGATGAGATCAGGTGCCAGTTAGTCTCGCGAGATTAGAAATGTTATTTTCATTCATTCAACCTTTATTTAGACAGGTTAATCCCGGGACTCATACCAGAGAGACCTGATTATTATTTTTTTTTTAAAGATGACAACTGTGAATAACAACGACAACAATAGACTGTCACAAAAGAGTCATATAATTATTATTTTTATTTTTTTTACAAATCAAAACAAAATAGCAACCAAAAGGACAGCCAAAAGGAAAAGTAACAAAAAGAAAAAAAAACAGCTAGATGATAAAGCGGTGTAAAAAACTAAAAACAGGAACATGTCTGCATTGGGTTTTGCCAGGAACTTAACAGATGTTTAAAGCCAAAGAGGTCAAGGTCAAGATCTTCAGATCTTTTTGCAAGATATTCCAGGAAACAGGAGTGTAGTATGAGAAGGCCCTTTTGCCTAGTTCAGTCATCAGAGGGAACACTGCATGTAATAATGTTCTGGGAGCGCACGCTGTAGCTGCACGCACACAGTGACATATAGGAGGAAATGTATGAATGCAGCAGACCAAGAAGATGAAAATGTATCAGTGGGAGAGTCTGCGGGAAGTTAATGATGACCAGTTAACCAGTGAATACAGGGTGCAGTGGTGGGTACGGTAGTTACAGCCGGTTATGAATCTTAGTGCACCATGATACACAGCATCCACCATCTGCAGGGTGATTGTAGGGGCGTTCATATAGATAATGTCACCATAGTCAATGGAGGGAAGGAAAGTCACAGTTACAAGGCATTTCCTAGCATTCAGAGTTAGACAGGATCTATTTCTGAGAAAGAAACCCAGTTTAACTTTCAATTTCCTTACTAGGTTTTCCACGGGAAGTTTAAAGGAGAGATGTGAATTAACCAAGATACCCAAATATTTATAGGAATCGACAAACTCAATAGGGACACCATTCAAGGATAAAATCAGAGGAAGAATTGCTGGGACTGACTTCCTGTTTGAAAAAAGCATCCCTTTGGCTTTATCGGCATTTAGGACAAGTTTGAGACGGAGCAAGTCTGACTGGATGATGTCAAAGGTAGATTGCAAAAGCTGGAAAGGCTTAGAAACTGTTTAAGCTCGACAATAAACAACTGTGTCATCAGCATAGACATGTAAGGATGCATCGGGAATGCTCTGACCTACATCACCTACGAAGATTGTAAAGAGGGTGGATCCTAAGACTGAGCCTTGTGGTACGCTATTGCTGACTGATAAATAACTGGAGTAAGTATAATTGCACATTGCCTCCGATCTGAGAGATAGTTAGAGGACAAACCAGGATCTGAGAAACCAGTTTCTGATAGCTTATGACACAAGATGCCATGGTCCACAGTGTCAAAAGCTTTAGACAGGTCTAAGTAAAGTGCAGCACAATAATCCTTAGCATTCAATATTTCAACAATGTCATTAAAAACCTTCAGTGAAGCAGTCGTTGTGCTGTGTTGTTTCCTGAAACCAGATTGATGGAGAGGTAAGATGTTAAATTCAATTAAATTAAATTCAAAAATACTTTATTAATCCCAGAGGGAAATTATTTGTTGTTGTAACTCGTTATCCTCATTTCATTAAGAGATGTTATAGATGCTGATGCTGTAGACAGGAAGGATCTCTTGTAAAGGTCCATCCCACAGTGGATCCTAAGAAACAGGCTGCAGATGCCGTCCGATCCGTCCACCCAGACTCGGCTGGCCTCTCGGTTCCCCTGGGCTGTAGGACTGCTCGAATGCCGGGCAGAACTCCTCCTAGAGCGATGGCCACTCCTCCCAGCAGTCTGCCGAGCTCCTCGTCACTGCGGACAGCCAACTGTAGGTGCTGAGGAACAATCCTGTCCTTCCACTGTCATGAGCCGTGTTTCCTGCTAGTTCCAGGATCTCAGTGGTCAGGCACTTGAGCACAGCTGGCAGGTAGATGTGAATGCGTCCACAGAACATCCTTTTCAACTCATTTGAGATTTGGGGCTGTAGTTGAGATATTATTTGAACTTTTGAGATGTTAATCAGCTGCTCCTGGTTGTACAAAACTGCCTTGTTGCCATGGTTACGCATCATAACAAATGTCCAAAACTAAAAAAGTTTCAGTAAAACTCCTTTCAGCTGCACATCATCCGATACCAGAGGAAACAATCATCCAAAAAATGTGTTTTACATCCAGAAAAACAGGAATTAAAGTTTCCAAAAACAAAATCTCAGAATGAAAGTAACAGAGCTGCTCCAACATGCAGCCACCTTGAGCTGTGCAATTCTAGAACACAGATAGCTAGATACACTGCTGTCCTGATGTGCCTGATGGACCGTAGTGTGAGGAACTCTGTGAACTCTGCTGAGGTGAACTGGGCCCCATTATTCATTGTAACAACATTGGGAAGGCCCCAGCATCCAAACAGATTGTTCAGGCAGTCTATGATGGTGTGTGCAGTGATGGAGCTCAGTTGGCAAACCTCAGGCCACTTCGAGTGAAGATAGTGAACAACCAGCTGGTAGCGAGCGTGGTGAGCAGGTGCCCCGTGAAGTTCCCCACAGATGTCGACTTGAATATGTTCCCAAGGTGAAGATAGCCAAGGGGTCGGAGTGAGAGAGGCTGTGGCAGGCTGGCCAGTTTTCCCACTCAGAAGGCAGCAAGCACAGTTACGCACCAGCTCCTCAACATCAGAGTCTACAGGGCCACCACACCACGTATCATGGCAGTGCTGCTTCACCTTGACCACCCCCAGGTGCCCCTCATGTACCATATACAGTACTCTGGCCCTGAGAATTTCTGGAATGACTGCCCAGTGATCATGAGCTAGGCACATCGCCCCCAGCAGGAGAGTTTGTTGCAGAAACAGTAATAGGGAAGCACCCTGTCATCCACTTTGGTAGGCCAACCATCCTGCACATAGGTGCGGAGCATTGTGAGTGTATCATCCGCAGATGAGGCCTGCTGCAGCTCTGCCAGGGTGACTACTGAACTGAGAGGCCCAAGCAGGACATGGACCCAGTCTTCATTGCTCTCTGTGTTTGATGTTGCTCCGCCCATCTCCTTTGTCACTGACACAGCTCTTAACAGGAGATCGACCACTGTGTTGGCCCGCCCAGGCATAAACTCCAGACTAAAATTGTACTGGTTTAGCACCACAGCAGTCTCATGGGCCTGTGCCCAAAGCCTTGGGTTGCCAACAGTGCTGTCAGCACTTGGTGGTCTGTGCAGATGGTGCATGGTCTGCCATACAATAGACATGCCAATGTTTGCACGCCCACAGGCAAGCCAAGGCCTCCCTCTCCCCCACCGAATACTTCTGCTCTGCTGGAGTAAGTGCACATGAGGCGAAAGCAACAGGGTGTTTCACCCCGTCATGAATCTGGGAGAGCACAGCACTTAGTGCCACCCCAGAAGCATCGCAGGTGACCATGGTGCGAGCGGTCAAGCTGAAATGGGTCAGCATGGGTGGGGACGTGAGCTATTGTTTGATGATCTGCACAGCGTCATGACAAGCTGGTGTCCAGTCCCACGTGACGTCCTTCCAAATAGTGCCAAGGGGCTGTCGAGTCTGAGTAGTGTGGCATGAATCTGAGGTAGTAGGTGGCCATTCCCAAGAAGGAAAACAGCTGGGATGGTGACTGTGGGTCCAGCAGGGACAGAATGGGCTCAGTGTGGGATCGAATTGGGGCGATGCCCTCTTTCGAGAGCCTGAAACCCAGAAACTCGACCTCCTCAGCCCCAAATATGAACTTCTGAGAGTGTGACCCCATGCTGACTGAAACACTGAAAGACCTGCTCCAGGTGAGCATCATGCAGTGTAGTAGATGGTGCATGCACCACCACGTCATCTAGGTAGATGGAAACACTGTGGATACCAGCCAGTACCAGTGACATTATCTTCTGAAAACAACTTGGGGCTGATGAAAGACCAAATGTCATGCTTTTAAACCTGAAAAACCCCACATGCGTGACAAATGCTGTAAGGTCCATACTGGCTGGCGCTAGAGGGACCTGCAGGTAGCCATTCCGTAGGTCCATCTTACTTAAGACAGTGGAGCCGTGAAAATGGCTGGTGAGTTCCTCAGCTGTAGGTAGGGGTTACTTATCAGGTACGATGGCTTTGTTCACACCAGTGAGGTCCACACAGAGTTGCAGTCTCCCCCCCTTTTTCTTGGCTATCACTAGGTTAGATACCCACGGTGAAGCATTGACAGGCTCTATGACGTCATCCTCCACCAGGTGATACAGCTCGGCCTCCACAGCATCACAGAGAGCCAGGGGAATGTGCCGAAGAGGCTGGATAACAGGACAGACTGACCAGTCAACCATAGGCTGGTGGACAAAACCTGTCATGCGGCCCAGTCCGCTGAACAATTGTGGGTAGCGGTCGGGCCAGGAGGTGGCGACCTGCAGGACATCTTGGCCCTTAGCATCACTCACCGCAAAATCTAGGGCGAGGAACAAGACTAGGCCCATAATATTAGCTCCTTTCTGGGTGATACAGAACTTGGCGTTAGGCGCAAATTGCTGATCATACTTGACAGGGAGGCAGGCCACACCCAGAGTGTCGATGGGAGAGTGGTTGTAGCCAAGCAGGGGTGTAGTTGCTGCTTACAGATGTATATGACTGAAAAACTGGTCATATGTGCATTTGTTCAGAATTGACACTTTGGCCCCTGTGTCCACAAGGAGCGGGATGAGCTGTGCCCACATGACATGTGCAGAGCTTGAATGATGGCTGCAGAACCATAGTATGGTGAGCAGAAGAGGAGTGAAAGCAGCATGCAAAATGATTCAACTTATTGCATTTACGACAGAGTTTCCCATGGGCAGGACATGACTTGTCTCTAGTAGCATGGTTAGTGGAGCCACAGTTACCACAGCTCTTGGCCCCACTCCTACTGGGCCCCCTGTCCACTGTCTGTACATCCAAATTGCCACTTGGCCCGTCAGCCCCCTCGACAGCCTATGTGTGATGGACAGACGGTGTTGACGATGTCACCGGCTCGTGCACAGCGCG